TAGGGTGACTAGGGCCCTTAAGAATTACTGATAGTCTCGAAACCTATTTGAATGAATATGTCAACTTAATAGTGTTTGTCAGTTGAGATCTCTCCTAATTAGAAATGATTTGTATAATTTTTGAAGGCCCATAAAACATTTATTTTGCCAGCTCTCACAAAAAAGCACCTAATGTTCTGAACTGAATGTATATAGGCCCCGATGAAAATTTTAAAGCATTTACGAGATATGCTACAAACAAATTGCACATAATTTGCTTATATTTTGATTGTCAAACGACGGCATATAAATCGACAAGAATGGAATTCTAGATGGCATAAAATATTAATGATTTAATAACCTTGAGTTGACTTGTTTCACAAAAAGGTAAAATAAAGATCACTCCAGAACTGCAGCAAATTTTAGGAGGCAGTTCAGTCAGATTAGCCAAGAAGATAGCTTACCAATATGCTTTCAAGACAGGCCAACAAGTGGCTTAGCTGCTCGTGAAACAGATCTTTCGTGATCACGCCATGATGCGGGTCAAGAACATTTGCAAATTCAACACTATTAAAATTTGTGCTTCTTCTGGTTGGAGTTATTGTGATATCCTGGCAGCGAAGGGAGTGACTAAGGCCTGCTCCGGACGGTCTTTGAGAGGTACCATCGATAACCGAGGAGTCGGTCAATCTCAGGCAAAACTCCATTCGATCAGATATGCCAGCTTGTTTGGGATTTACATTCAAGCTACACGATTGGACAGGGCGATTGTAACTTTGTATATGCGATGTATCATCAAGGGAAGGACTGCGCTCCTTAAGGGATAGTGACTTGTGGGCGGTCTGGATTGAGGCTAAGGAACAGTCGTAAATGACGCTTGTGGCAAGAATATCTTTTTCAGGAGAGCGGATAAAACTGGCTGTTGCTTTTTTAACATATTCTGTTCCATCCTCCTCTTTCAGATTGGGAGTGGTAGGAAGAAGCGTAATGTTGGAATGCTGATCAATATAATTATACTTATTTCTGGGAGCATTTTTTCCGCCTATAATTCTCTGATCAAATATATCAACAATTTTATCGTTTATTTTCAAGTGCATGAAATCCCCATTATTCGGCAAACTGTTTTTAACAGAGCTATTATAGAACTGTCTACAATTTCCTATAAATTCTTGTTCTTTCTTGCGGTTTACTTGGTTTTTTTTATTTATTTCCTTATTCATTTTCTCTTTACAGTTATACTCCTCGTTTTGTTTATTGATGCCGTATAAACTTTTGTTTCCCGTTTCTCTTTCAGTCTCCGTTTCCATTTCAGTATCAATTTCGTTGGACCAAGAAGGATAGCCGTGTATGCGCTCCTCTAAATACAGGCCATTATAATTACGTGATTTCAGGAGGGACACACTATTAGCTGCCTTCGCCATTCGAATTCGCGCAAGCCGCACTTTCTAAAATGTATAAAACACCAAAATAAATCAATCATTTAGATAATCTTTATTCCCTATGCGAATGAAAGCGTCATAGGAAGTGTCATTTAAAGTGTAATAATGGTCGTTAGATTAGCGAACTGCCTTAATAGAACTTGTAATTGCTACATTAAATCAATAAGAAATTTCCTCCAGCATTTACGCCATCTCAAATAATATAATTAGAGCTTAGGAAGTAAGAAGTGAAATATTCTTTTACAATGCAATGAAACCATCGCAGAAAAGGAGGGGCAAATTATTAAATATCTATATGTTTATTATATGTCTAGTAAAAAGTAAAAATGCTATATTCCTTTATTTCTTCATCATAGGATTATATTAAAATAATATTTAGTACTTTTGGCAATTTAATGAAATATTGAGGGCTTGACTACATCTTAGCTCAGAGTTTGAAAAATTTATCGAAGTGATTTAGCTCGCACTTTTTCTAGTTTGTAATTTAAAGCCTGAAAATTCTATATATTTTAATATGTTTTAATAATTAATAGTATATAAAATACCCCCAAATGTATAATTTGTATATAAAATATTGATAGCTATAATATATTTTCTATTATTTCATTCAAACGGGCAATATAATCAAAAGGCTTTGTTGTAGATTAAAACGGTTTGAAGTTGTTGGCTCGAGGAAATGAATCACACGAGCAGGCTCATGACATCATAAGTACTATCCAAATTTTAATAATTTTTGACTTCTTACGTTTCTATAATCCAAAGAATTTAGAAAAATCTAATCAAAAACGATATATTCAGATTTTTTGTAATACCAATATATTTTTTCCCTCAATTAAACAAGAAAGGCTTTAATTAATCTTAAGAGTATATTAATATTATCTAAACTTTTGGCTACCCTCACAATGGGATTCCTCAAAAGAAGACATTTAATCAATATAGGGAGCTTCAAAAAATACATACACATCGTTTTTACTAAATGAGTGTTAGTTCGTTTATCATTAAATTAATGGATACTATAAAATACATATGCTCTGTAAAGCCATGGGAATAATATACGAATAATAAGTTAATAACAGTGTCTTTTAGATGCTAAAAGGGCTATCTTTTTGTTACTTTACTTAACCTTGTATAATTTCGACCAACAATCATAATTAAGTTAAAAACTTTATTGAAATTACGGAAACTAGGTCAAATGTAATGTCATATGAATTGTTTGACATTGTCTTCGCAACTTGGTCCTATTTACATGAAGATCTAGAGGAATACACCTTGTTCAGAATGCATAATATTCATGATAATTACCAGTACCAGATTCTGAACTCGATGCATTCTCAGACATTTCGCCGGCATCGTAATCGAAATCGTCAGTGAGCCTTGCCATACTTAGCACAACGCTACACCTTGTCAAAAAGTCAAGTAAAGTCGATCCTTTGACTTACTGTCTACTGAACATTTACAGTGTGGTGCTAGTAATGCCAAGACTGACAAAAAAGGCAGGTTAAATTTCTGGGGGCGTAACAAGTAGACGAATCGACATTGGTAAACATCATAGAAACCATGAACTCCGGACAAGATATGTTCCTTTAGGTACGCCGATAATACGAGCAAGTTATGAAAACAAGGCAAAACGATTTATCCAGGACAACAGGAGACAGCCACCAGCTTTTCTTCATACCTTCGATTAAAAAGTTATTTTATTCAAAAGAATGGACTAATATATCTTTTTGTATATTAAAGTAGTAGGGTCTAAGAGAGCATTAATATGAATAATTATTTAAAACATTATTATACAGCAAAGTATAAAAAATATAAATATCATAATTTATATTATGACAAATATTATCTAGTTCGTCTACAAAAGCCAAGATAAAATGGCCAAGTTATAATAACACAAATGTAGCCCTGCTATTTATTATTCTGTATTTTTACAAGTCCTTTCATTACAGATGCTGAATGAGTTGCTAATGAAATACATGAAATTCTTATTCATTTATTATACGACGAAAATGATGAAGAGAAATGGAGATGCTGCAATATAATAGCTCGTACAACACCTTTTGAGTAATCGAGCCCAGATTCTGTAGACACTTCTAAAGCCGTGCTATATTAAACGGCCTATAGAAACGAATAAAATAATAATATTTAACTACATAATTATTTTTTCTGTTTAGTAGAGGAAAAATAGTCATAATTTGTTGATGTATTTTAGTTTTACCTCTTACTTTTGATTTTCTTTGGAATCGGACTGAGTGAATGTTGTACTGCA